CAAGTAATAATATATAAATGGATAATATAATTAGTAAGTAAAAAATTAAAATCGGTCGACAATTGTACTCAAAAGTTTATGTGCAACGTATGGTTTCATAGATATTAAATTATTCGATTATCTTTTCGATCGACGATTCGATATTATTGATGTTTGTACCTATTCAACTCTTTTTTTAAACGTCCCACTGCTGGGCGTGGACCTACCGTCAATACGAGGGGTATCAGGCCATAGTCCACCACACTGGGTTGGCGGACTTCACGTCTTCCGAAAACTTGCTAGGTTCTCTAAGACCTGCATGTTTCTTCACCATGTTTTCCTTCACCGTAAGACAAGGGCTAATCATGTTCCAAATAATTCGCACATCAAAATATCTGACACGCCAGTTCCGGAACTTGAGCCCGCTTTACTCGGTTTCCCAAGTGAGCGCGTTACCACTGGGTTACCACTGCCTCGCACTGGGCAGTAAATGTTTATGAAAGATTATAATATAGGAAAAACAATATATTTAAAAAAAATATTCTGGTTTTAAAAATACTTTTAATGAAAAATTAAAGATATAAGATAAATAGAAAATAAAATATTGGGTTCTTAAATTAAATTTCCGAAATACTTACTAGTGACCAAAAAATATTGTTATATAATATTTTATTAAATATATTATGAATTTTACTATATTTATGTTTATTGTTATAACATATGTACCTATGTAATAAAATACTTCGGCAATTTGTATAGCAACGCCATCTACCAACTATTTAAGGAAACGTATAATTTCGAAGTCTGAAGATGGTCATCCCAATGTCCAATGGGGTTTGTGTACTATTATAGTGTTGTGTCATCACAAAAGCATTGTCAAAAACTTAGACTATAAAGCAAAATATCGTGAATATTATATTTATAAAACAAAATTTTGTATTTCATACTTGGTAAGCAAGCCGTTCTTAAATAAGTTAAAGTTGTACGATTATCTTAGTTCTTATAATAGATATATGTACATGTAAAACACTTACATAATATATAATAAGCCATTTTCTAGAAATCCCTAGAAAATTTAGAAACTTTCATTATATCTATTAATATTTTTTAAATGGTAGTTAAGCTCAATGCGAAAAGCTCTTAAAACGTATATATGAAAGTCACCCATAAAACTACCCCACATGGCTAAAGTGGCTAAGTATTAATGCTGTTACGAGCACGTAGAGTTTGCGACTGTCCGAAGTGGCTTGGAAAATAACCTGCAGCATCCGCCGTCTCCCCAATATCCGCTTTGCTGCGCTTTCTAAATGCGCACTTCACATTTGTTCGCATTCCATATCCGCTGAAGTTGACCGTAGGCTCATAAACTAGTACCTACCCACAGATTTGGCTGCTTGGAAAGATTTTTTCTCTCTCTTCTAACGATTTTAGTCGTCCATGGATAAGGTCAGAAATAAGGTGTTGTAAATATAATATAAATATATATATTATGAGTTAAATAAAAAAAAATCACATGCATAGTTTTTGTTCAAAAACACACCTATGGTTTGTCAAATACTTTATTAGGTTTATTTTGCACCACGGGTCAGTTATTTATTTTTTAAATTGCTCTGTTTCTACATGTACATAATCTGTCTTATTATTATTTTTCTCTGTTTTACTGGTCATTGTATATCTAACGTGTCTTCTCCATTCTACGTGACAATGGCACAATGGTGCCCAAAAGGTCTCTCCACTCTCCTCTCACTCCTAGGAGCCATTGCACAAAAGAATTAAATCAGTAATTTTTTTTATATATATAATATGGTATACCGCTCTTTTTACCTCATCATGGAAAAGTAATTCAAAAAACCTTATGAAGCGGTTACATTTGTCTAATATAAATAAACCGTCAAGTTTTTAGGTCTTTAGCTAACCAGTCAGGACAGACAGCTAGACAGCTTATTTACCTTTAGTCTGTAGATTCAAATGTAAAGATCAGCAAATCTTACATGGAAATAATATTTTTCTTTGGAATAGTGGAGTAAGAAAATAGATAAAGCAAAATAATACAAAAGTTATAAAAAAGAAATAAATTATAGACTACTATCTATGCGTAGCTCATCCACTAAGGACGGGGCTGATGTCACTTTGCGTAAAAATTGTTGTTGGCTATAACGTAAAATTTAATTTATATTCTTGTTAAATATTGAAAATATACCGGAAATAGATATCGTCATTTATGCATAGGTACGAGTACGTCATAATATATAAGCAAAAATAAATAAAATATGCAAATGCATATCCGGTCTCTTATGAACTGTGCATTCATTAACTTGTCACTATTTGAATACAATTAAAAGCGGGATAATTTTAATTATTAACTATTAGGGAAGTAAAGTTTTAAAGTACTCAATATTTAGAAACTTATTAAATATTTTTCTTTTCTAATATTCTGAAATATTTCGATGAGCACGTACATTACAATCAATATATGAATAGTAATACATTTGGTTTCCAAAAACGGCTTCGACCTCGTATAGGTTACATTTTCATACAATTTCCAATTTTACACCGTTCTTAGGAACTATTGGTCAGATTCTTCAAATTCCTTCACTACTAAGAAGTTATATTATTCATTATAGACTGCTTTGTATCGTAGTTTGTTGATATACTATATATCAAGAAATTTATTTTATCCTATCGGAGTTTGAAAGTCAAAGGAATAGGGAGTGCACTAGTGCAGTGAGATTGACCAGCAAGAACAAAATCGGTCAGAAAAATATAATCATTATTATTATACCGTAATAAAGAACGCGCTAGATAACCTGAGCAAAGCCAGGGCAGACCGCTAGTATAGTAACATAACTAAAATGTAGAATTACTTGATGATATTGACATAAGTATATTTACTGGAAAGCTTTTGATGCTGATATTCTGCACGTGTGTTGTTTCGCACTTAACATAATTTACCGGAAGTTCGAACAATGTTTCGTAGGTACGTTCTATCCATCACCCAGTTCTAATGCGGTCTCCTAGTACCTACATAACAATTTATGTATGTATGTATGTACATAATATATTACAATGTAATAATGCTTATATATTTTCCCTTACAATTGTTATTTTATGCATTAAATGATTCTTAAAATGAATTAACTGTTCTATTCTTAGAATATTTAAAAAAAAATCAAATTAAATTATTTTTAACATTAATGCATTCCTTAAGGCATAATCCCTGCACGACCGCGGATACGCCGGCGTTACAGGTAACAATAGATTTCTTAGAAATTTAATTAATTTCTTAGAAATTTACCTGGAAGTGTTAAAATTTACCTTACAAAATGTATAGTTTCAACAATCCTATATTAGTTATATTATTCACCGCTAGAGACGCTGACATGTTTTATTAATGTGATGCTAAATGAAACAATAATTCTGTTTTAAAAGCGAATAATAATACAAATAGAAGATAAAAGTATAGTAAAATGTAATTTATGTATTGAACAAGATTACTTATATTGAACACTAATTGTCAGAAACTTTTAAATATTTTTTTTATATTTAGATTATACTGTAAAAGAAAGTAGTCCATGCAACGGAAATGAATTGATCCGACTCGGGTCACGGTAGGTGAGCTACATCAGGCTATGTTAGCTATGCTACGCTTCGTGCCTTAGCTTCTCGTTAGGTGTTTTTTTTTATTTTAAACCCTAACACCCTAAAATCCCATGTTAATTTTAAATCCGGTGACCGATCTGCTTCGAAATTTATAAGTATCGGACATTGTCTGAAGAATGCAAGAAGATTTATTTAGAATTATTAAATTATTATTACACCTTTTATATCATGGACTATGGTACGATACGATCAGTTTTAGTTGACTATATCATGAAATACCACCATTTCATGAAATGCTCTTTGTGTGCTTTTCTGCTCAATCAATATATATACTAATAGTGACTGCACACAAATTTACAAAAAATGATTTAAAAAATTCAAAAATGGCCCCCAAGGTACCATATATTTGATTGATTTTAATTTTAAACATTTTAAAATTAAAATCAACAAATTAACAAATCAAGAACTAGTTTAAAATTAAAAAAACCAACAGATATTGTAAGGTACCTACTTTGGGGGCATTTTAGAATTTTTGAAATATTTTTTTGTAAAATTGTGAGTAGGCACTGTCTGTAACAAGTATATAATGCTTTTGAGACGTCTAAGCCTTAGTCTTTCCCGTGACCATTATTGCTGTAAAGCATTCGAAACGTCGGAAACCAAAAATCGCAATAAATTCGCGAAATAATTCGAAAACATAGTTTTATTTAAAATTTTATTTTGTTTTAAAATACGTAGCTGTCATATTTACGATTTTCTGCTTGATTTAACTTTAGATTATTTATATAGAACATCAAACTTCGAACTCTAATAAACTCCATGAAGACTAAATTACTAGGCAATTCCAGCTGGAGTGAAACTCGTATTCACTTCCTAGCATTAAACGTGGGCTAAGTTTTAGTTAGGTTTCGAAGCTAAAACAACCTACTAAATATAAAGTTTTAAAATAAGTTCACCTAAAATAGATTTTTGTTAATTTTTCCAATATGTTCTTTAATTAAGTTCTGCAGTGTTGTAGTAAGTTTGTTCTTTATAAGCTAATATAAAAATCCCAGCCTAATGAATAAAAAAATACGCATTAGGCCCTTTACTGACTTTAAAGTCTTGAATTATCTTGAACTGAATTGTGCGAAGTAGTTTGTTTGGATACTATAAATATTTAATTATGTTACAACCATTCACATTGTAAAGATAGACTACCATCTCATATAAAATAACAAATTCCAAATAAAAAGTACATATTTAACTATTATTATGTGCATGCTTATGTATGTCTGTCTTTAACAAAATAAATATTTATAAATAAATAAATGATGATTCTTCTCATTGATCTTTAAACACCTGATATCTCAAAACCTGTGCCTAGATGTTTAATTACCCTAAAGTAGTAGTTTTATTAAAATGAATACATTCTGTTGCAGGTCGAGTTTCACACAACCGAGTCAGTAGTAACAGTTGATTGGGAAAATGGATTTGTGGAGGCATCAGCCAAGGAGAATATAAACGTGTCACAGATTTTCAAAGAGTTATTAGTACAGGCGAAGGTGAAATACAACCTATCGCCAGCACTACGTCGACGACGACGGCAGTCCCTGCCCACCGGCCCCCACGGTCCTCATGGGTCTTCTCCCTCACCATCACCCTCCAACCAACCACACGTACCCTCACCAGCTCAACTCGCACACTTACAACAAATAAGAGAAAGACATGCTAACAGCAAACGCAACTCTTGCGTCATTTCCTAAGTCGTCCAAATTTTCTGAAGTCTGTACCATGCAATATTATTCAATATGTAAGGGTTTGATGTAACAATTGGTCTTCCTTGCATTTAAGTATATATAATATCACATATATCAAATCCATTAAAGTAACTAACATTCTCCGGCATATTTTAAATTTTTATACGCATATTTCTTAAAAATAATTCGGTGTACTGTCTTCCCTTCAATAGAGGTTATTTCGTAGATACATATATCTTAAGTTTTTCTGTTTAACATTTTAACAATATAACACCAACGTCTCATGCATATAGGTAAGGTTTAAGATAATCGTCTTTAAAGTAAAATGTATGAAACAGGTGATAAAATGTAGGATGACATGTATTCTGACTGGTTTGTTATAAGGTATTGTCTATCAATTTCACTTAAAATAAGGTAAACTAATAGATATGTTCAACGTCTTATCTATAAAGTTATTTTTCCGTCCTATACGCTACATGGAAGCTATTGGGCCGATTATTTTCTTTTTGTTACTTTGTGTACAAGCATGCTATCAACACTCTAGCAAGCAATATTAAATTACAGCGTCAATTTGGATTCTCACATTCCGAAGCTCGGGATTTATTAATATAATAGATAATAATAGATTTTATTATGATATATATTTGTTATTTTTACGTAAACTGCTCTCTATACTCCATTTCCTTATCTCACATACAATATTTTATCTGGCGGACTAGCGACCCGATTACATTTCACGGGGGCCTCATTTCGCTTTTCCGCCGACAGTCCGCCTTTTGCCTACTATATACGCTGCATAATTCGTCTCGGAAGAACCCAAATATTTTTTTTTATAAAAAGTTCTTACATGTACAAAGTTACACGTGAGAGAGTAACAAGAGTTAACTCTTTTAAAGTAGTAAGTATCATTAGAAAATAATTTATGTATTTTAAAGGGTGAATTACTTAAAAGTATTTGATATTGCTGAACCATTCAAATTCAGAAAGTGTATTTATGAATGCACTTTCACAATATGGTTTCTAAACAAATGTATATCCATTAAAAGTATTTCGAGAACAAAAATGATAAAAATAAAAATCTTTTAAGTTACTTGAGTCAAGGTTAATACAGATAGACGGGTTTAGGTAGGTACATTATAATTGTAGGGGTTGGCTGATCTTGGGTTCGAGTCTCGGGGCGGGCATAAACATTTACTAAGTTTTTCTGTCAGTAACACTTACTAGCAGCCTTGAGTTGGAAGGTTAGTAGTGTATACATCATCATGCCCCGGAAAGTCCGTTCGGATTAAGATCCTAATCTGTCAAAGATCGTATCGATTTTTTTTCGAGTTAAATATATATATATATATATATATATATATATATATATATATATATATATATATATATATATATATATATTTAACTCGAAAAAAAACTATTATTAGTTCAACATAAAAATTAGCAGTCACGACCTTAGCCTTTTAAGCAGTTTTCTTAACGATAACGATCAGATAAAACAAACTTTTTAAGCCCTTTTTATAAATAAATAAATAAAATCAATAGAAAATTTAATTAAAATACAATAAAAAGCACTCCCAAAGTTTATTTTCTATACAAAATTAAAGTGATACGTTTCAAACAAATAACTTTGCTCCACAAAATTATCCCAAGTTTCTTAGTAAGCTCGCAATGTTCGCTTAGAATATATCGCCCATTTGCTAAAAAGTAACAAAGTCAGTTTGGGAGAAATGTATTGTCATTTCGGTTACTTAGACGGGGCTTTATACTTTTGTTTTGTACGTTCAAGTTTTTAGTACATAATATATTGGAGCTAAATTACTAATAAATAAATGACATAAGTATCTTCCTTCATATTTTACATCTTCGCTGGATAAAAATATTTTATGTTTCATTTGGATTCAAACCACTTAAAATATTACAACTTTTACAAAAAAAAAACACGATTTTATCATTTTTAACCGACTTCCAAAAAGGAGGAGGTTCTGAATTCGTCGTAATCTTTTTTTTATGTATGTTCACCGATTACTCGAAGATGCCTAAACCGATATTGGATTTTTTTTTGTTTCAAAGGGCATTTCCCAGGTCCCATATAAATTATCGAAATCAACAATAAATATACTTTTTTAATAAATTGCTTATTTGAATATGTTATTAAAAAACTTTCTTCTTACAAATTACCTGCTACACTAAAAATGGAAAAATAAAAACCTAAAAAAACCGACTTCCAGGCACTAAAATGTAAAAAATAACTAAACGGAGGTTTTCATTTAGAATAGATACCTAATCAGATATTTTCGAAGTTTTTATTTAAAAGGTCACTTTGATAATTTAGCTGAAATGGACATATAAACGTACCATTTAGTCGATATACAGCTTGCGGATATATTATAAAGTACAATTATGATTATGAGATGGAAGAGTATGGAATATATACATATTATACATAAATAAATTAATTATTAATAAAATATTTCTTATGTGAAGGAATATCAACTTTTATTCTAGATTTATAGATGTGCCTTTATTTACAATTAGCCTTCTTAGTTTAATTATTAACTAATTAAATATTTTGTTGTATTTTTCTCCGGAAACATAAAATTTATTTCTTTTGCGTGTATTCAGTTATAAGGTTGTGTGTTAGATTTAGAATTAAATAAATATATTTAATATTTATAGTGGTATATTTGTATTTTATTGGGAATTTCGATATGTAGTACCTATATGTGTAGAAGGAACATCTAATATTCGGTGTACTTTATTTATCTTCACAATATATAACAATGAAAATATTAATAAATACCATATTTCTTTATGAAATAAATTATTTAGGAAGCCGATATATTAACAGTATTTTTATAAAAAAAAACAAAATAAATGTGTCATTGAAATAAACTAAATGCTAATTTAATTAATTAACCAATATATGAAACCAAACCAAAACTTAGGAGGTATTTTGAAGTATATCGACGTAATTTGTCTGTCAAATTCTATTTTTATTATAAACTTTTCAATAAAATGATGTAGTTTTAATTGTGTGTTTCTCCATAAATACGCGTAGTTTGATATGAAGCTGTCGGCACAGAAGGATTTGATATCGTAGAAAAGGTATTAACTATAAAGATTTATTGTAATTTTCATGATGTTAAGATTATCTAGTCATATCCACAAAAATCTGTGTTTCAAAGTAAAATTGTAATATTTGTACCGAATATAAATATTGTAACTTTAAATAAATATATTTACTTCGGATTTGTTTTTTTTTTTTAATTTATTTTCACACAGTCTAAATTCGGTTTTTTTTCATAGATATTTGCAAAAGGTTAGTATCCTACAAATATACCATATATCCTTTTCATCTATACAGATAAATAAAATCGAAGTGTCCGTTTGTAATGTCAAAATAACAGTTTTTTACTAGATGCATATGAAATTATATACGATACTTATAAAAAACTTAATTTTTAGAATTTTTGTCTGTCTGTCTATTTAATCCGGCTAATCTCCTACGACTAAAAAAAATTAAAACGTTTGTGTATTTGTTTGCAATGTATGCATTTTTTATTTTTAAGTCATTACTGAATTTTTCTATTAGTAGTAGTCGAACTAAAGTCTACACAAGTTCAAAATTGTATTATTTTTTTAAATAGCTACTACATGTTTTACTTCATACAGCTTTACAAAACATCAAAAGACAAAGAAAAAGAAAAAGTAGAATGATGCTCAAAGAACTGCCACTTAATAAAAAAGCTGAATAGAAGGCATACTTTGGTTTTTATTTTTTATTATTTTTCATTTCCTCATATTTTACAATAAGTGAGGAAATGTTATACTCTTAGTAATCTGTACATATAATAAAATTGTAACTAAGTCGAATCTGTACATTAAATATTTTTTGGAAAATCTATTTGAAATAGACATTATTATCGATACAGAGTCCGAATCTATAGTTTTTAGATTTTTGTCTGTCTGTCTGTATGTTACCGCATCATGAGGGTAAGTTAGAGCTAGTAACTAGTTAACATAAAAATACAGGTAATAAAAATAATTTTGAAATTACGAAATCTTTTGAAATTTCTTTATCCATTTTCAATTCATAATATTTCAAGTTACTACACAAGTCTATTGAAAATGTGTAAAAAGGAAACCCGTAATGGACTGTCGTTATACATAATTCGATTACCAGTCTTGGGTAGGGTGGTCTGTTTAATTTTTCAATCTTTGTTTCACTTTCTTAATTAACAATAAATCTTTTCGATACGAATAGAGGCTCTTATTAAAAAGGCACTTATGCCCGATTTCACCAACAACCCATAAGCTACCACCTACGTATGGGATCCCTAGCTTAAAAGTCCCCTAAACTAGCCCCTAAATTAAATTTCGTTTTACGATCGTCTTTAAGCCCATATTTCGAGCACCTAAATTTAGGTCGCCTTTTAATATTCAGGTGACCCCTAACTGTCCGTGAAACAGAAACTGTCCCCTAACAGCCCCCTAACCATGCTTAGGGGATCCCTTAAACTTAAGTGACGTTGGAGAAATCGGGCATAAAGTTAGCTATATTTAATAAATTCTAAATTATTGGACCATAAGTTACAATTAGGCATATAATTATAATATATATCCTAATGGCATAATTTACAATTTTAATTTAACAAGATAGTGTACATACAACTATCGTAAGTACTTTTTGTATATTAAAACATTATTTGGCTGGAATACAAGATTTGGTCCAATAGTTGCATTTTTAACCCCCAACGCAAGCAAGGTGTTATAACTTTAACGTGTGTTTGTGTGAAACTCCAAAGCGAATAAGCCAATTTTGATTTAGTTTTTTTTAATAATAATAATATTAAATACTTGCCAATATATAGATACTATACAAATTTTTAACCCAATCTTTATTTTTTGGATAAACAGTAAAGAAATGAGTGATGTAAAGTCCTGTATAAAGCAAATGTTATAAGTAAGATTTATAAATTGCAAAGAGTAAGAATCCCTTT